TTAAAGATTATTTGATGAAACCATTTGGATTTTTAGGGTGGGCCCTAAATCCAAAGATAGGTGCCCTTGCAAAAGAAAGGAAGGGGAGAGGTGAGACTCAGACAGGAGAAGAGGCCACATAAAGACAGAGATTAATGTGTCTGGAAGCCAAAGAATGCCCAGGAGTGCTGGCAGCCACCAGGAGTGAAAAGAGGCAGGGAGCAGATTCTCCCCTGAGCCCCCGGAGGAAACCACCCTTGCCAGCACCTTGCTCTTGGACTTCTGGCCTCCTGAACTGTGGGAATAACTTTTTCTTGTTTAATGCAAGCCACCCAGTGTGTAGTAATTTGATACAGCAGCCCCTGGACACAGTGTCACCTCTCAATGAGCAAACCTGAATCCTCCCGGGGCCAGGGGCGCTTACCTCGATGTAAGCTAAGTCATTCCAAAGGTGGAAGTAGTGCTGCTTGAAACTCTCCATCTTCACCTCCAAGAAATGGTCCTTTGTTTTCTGGAAAACATCAACCCCAATGCAATTGTCAGGTTTGGGTGGTCCTTCCCCTCCTCTTCCCGCATGCCCAGTCCCAGGAGATGGTTTGTGGAGCTGAGTGGCAGACCTAATTGGGTCTGGGCCAGATTGGGTGGCAAAGGGGTCCAGGCTTGCTGTCAGTCACTCACCAGCTGAGAACCGAAGAGCTTCTTGGGCATCGGCACGTCCACGACAGCCCTCTCAGCAAACCTGGGGTAGGCTGTGGCTGTGCAGTCACTGATGCCTGCGTCCTTTGGGATCAGAGCTTTAATCTTGATCCTCTCGCAGCCTTTCATGGAGCAGAAAGCAAACTTCTCTCTCTCGTTCTGAGCTTTCAGCTTCAGGAACAACAGCCTGCACACAGGGAGCGTTGCTGGACGTTTGCGTGGGCACTCAGAACCACCCCCTTCTCCTCCCACCCACTGAGACATTTACTATACGCTGGTCATGGCAGGTAGACCCAGACGCCTTACAGCATGGAACCACGTCTACCTACCACAGGGTTGTATGTAGCTGGAGAAATAAGGAACAAACGCATTGAAGAAAAAGCCGGTAAGAATGGCATTTCTATTCTGAGCATGTTTTATGTGCTAGGCCGTGCACATGTGGTAAATTGACATATTTAATCCTCAAACGATCCTGTCCAGTAGGTACTGTTGTCATCCTGAATTCTTAGATGGGAGAATGGTGGCTCAGAGAAGCAAAGTGACTTGCCCAGGACCACACAGCTGGGACGCAACAGAGCTGGGTTTTCCGTGCCCGCATCGCGCCTGGTAAGGAAATGTTCCGTCTTCCTTACTCTACTTTTCTCCATTTATTACAAACATTATTTTATACTTTATTAAAAATAGTCATGCCGGGCGCGGTGGCTCAAGCCTGTAATCCCAGCACTTTGGGAGGCTGAGGCGGGTGGATCACAAGGTCAAGAGATCGAGACCATCCTGGTCAACATGGTGAAACCCCGTCTCTACTAAAACTACAAAAAATTAGCTGGGCATGGTGGCGCATGCCTGTAATCCCAGCTACTCAGGAGGCTGAGGCAGGAGAATTTTCTGAACCCAGGAGGCGGAGGTTGCGGTGAGCCGAGATCGCGCCATTGCACTCCAGCCTGGGTAACAAGAGCGAAACTCCGTCTCAAAAAAAAAAGAAAAAAAAAAGGAAAAAAAAAAAAGTCATTATTATTGTAAAGGAAGCTAACCCAGTGTTACAGGAAGTCAGATTAAAAGGAAAACACAGTACCCACTTGGGATTCATTATTGCTCTTTCAGTGCAGAAAAGGCTGAACCCTGCATCTGAAACGTGGGAAGAAATGATACGGGGTGTCTAGCACCCATCCTGCTCTGGCAACCAAGCCTGCACTGAGCCCAGTCAGACTAGGGAGCTGGGTTTGCATCACAATGCCTTCACCCCCAAACCTGTGCCACACAGCTGCTCAGACCAGGGGCACACACTGGGCTCGCAGAGGGGCTGTGGATTGGCTACCCAGTAACCAAGATCCTCGCTTTCATGGGACCCAGCAGGTCTTGTCCAGTACTGACTGGTGCTTGAACTAAAAGACCACATGGAGTTGGGGCTGACAAGCTTGTTGTGCTGCTGAGAAATCGAGAGAGGAAGGCAGTTCGCAGCAAAGAGCTGAAACAAGAGGCCAAGCATGTGTAAGCATGTGTGCGCATGTGCGTGAAGGTGGGAGATGGAGACGCCGGGGTGGGCAGGCCGCTGCCTCCCTGCTGGCTTTGCTGTTTCCCCTACCTGAGCCCTTGAGGCCCAGGCAGGTTTTTATGTCTTCAGGGCCCCTTGGTTTTCTCTCTGTAGCACCTCCACTTATTCTGAGCTTCCTTGAGTGGCTGTATGTTTCAAGATATCCACATCAGGTGATCTCAGAATAAAGCAGAAACTGACTTACTGAGTTAGAGGCTGCTGCTCAGGGCTGAGAGCAGAGCAGCCCCGTCTGCGTTCCATGCCCTGCATGGTGGGGATGCTGGGGAGGCAGGTGAGCACCCACTTTGAACAGCTTAGGAGGAAGGCAGTTCACTGCCACCCATGGTCACATCTCGCTGGAGGCCCCCAACATGATCCAAACCACTCCTGGGACCAAGGCACAGACATGGGATTGGCCCTGAGGCTTCCGCACAAAACTTAACAGTATTCAGGTTTCCTTGTTGCCATTATATATCAGATAATCTAAACCGGGAGGAACGTACACGACCATCCAGCCCATGCTAGATAGCAGCTGCCTTCCTTAATCCTGACTTGTAACTTGGATGCATGCCAGCTGGCTGAACTGCAAGGCCCTGGGAGGCATGAAAGGGGCAGGGGCTGGGCATCTGCCAGCCCAGTGCTCAGACCCTGGCTCTGACCAGGTAATGTGGCAGAGCAGCGCTCCTGATGGCCATGCACCTTAAATAACATGCTTGTTTATAATTTAGTAAGAATCATTATAATAATTCACTGAGATGGTGTTAAGCAAACTTAGCTATCCAGAACACAGCTACAATCAATTAACAGTTTTGGTTTTTTTTTTTTTTTTTTTTTTTTTCTTTGAGACAGTCCCCCTCTGTTACCTGTCACCAGGTACCAGGCTGGAGTGCAGTGGCGTGATCTCAGCTCACTGCAACCTCCGCCTCCCAGGTTCAAGCAATTCTCCTGCCTCAGTCTCCCAAGTAGCTGGGACTATAGGTACCTGCCACCACGCTCAGCTAGTTTTTATATTTTTTAGTAGAGACAGGGTTTCACCGTGTTGGCCAGGATGGTCTCAATCTCTTGACCTTGTGATCTGCCCGCCTCAGCCTCCCAAAGCACTGGGATTACAGGCGTGAGCCGCCGCACCCAGCCAACAGTTTTTTTTTAACTTGGAAAAATTGAGAGATGATTCAGAGCTTATATATTTCACACTTTGAAACCCCCTCCCTTTTAGCCGACTTATTTTAATTTTCCCCCTAATTATAGCAAACTGGTTGTTAACTATCCTAGTCCATAGATTATTAGAAGGTAGCGGCTAAAGGCAGGTGCTCTGAATCTAAGCAATAACAAATGCATAAGGCAGAAAGATGTTTAAAAGCCCAAGAGTTTGCAGCCCTTCTCCATAAGAAACAGACTCCCTATAACCGAACTCCTAGTTCCTAAGAGCATGGCTGAATTGAAACACAACCTAATGATCAGGAGGCATAGGGCTAGGCTAAGCTACCAACCAAAAGGTTGCCTTATGCAGCAAAATGCGCTTAAGTTGACAAGCGGACAAGCCTTAGATTTTTTAAGACTTTGATCAAAGAGGTTCAACGTATTTCGTGGAAGTTTCCATTTGAAAAATTCGCATCTTTTGAACATTTCAGAAAATATGCACGGATGGTATCACAGGGACTTTACCTTATCAGCATCTGTTTTTTTAACCACAATATTTCCTAGTGGTATGTGCAGCGCATCTCATGCTCCTCCTCCGGCTTTCATTTGGGAGGATTTTCCTAAATTCTCCTGGCCCCTGGTCCTTCCCCTCATCTGCTTCTTCCCAGGGAAGTGAGTGTCGCATATAATTGGTTAGTTTTGGGTATTTGGCTCAGCCCGTAGAGCAGGGGCACTCTGGTCTGCCTTCCGTGCTCTGAGGTTGTGGGACTGGTCCCTACGTGGGGAGTCTGTCATTGCTCAGTGCTATGGGGGCTGGAGAGGTAAAGCTGGGGACCATATTGGGAAGCTCTGTTCCCCAGCAGCTTTATCATCAATGAAATGGATCGCTTCCTCTTCACCTGCCAGCATGTCTGCCCCCCGCCGGCTTCGAGTTTGTGGGGGGAAAGGGGTGTTTTTTGGGATGTTTTTTATTGCCCTTCCATCCCAACATTTTACTTATACTTTTGATTTTCAAATTTTAATTTGCCCTTAAGCAAATTGATGGAGCCATAAATAAGACACATCACCTGTTATCAATTTCCTTATCATTGACTTCCAGATTAGAATAGAAAGCTGGCCATGAAATGATCTTTGATCCTTACTCCTCACAGTTTGCTATCAATAGCCTCATGGCTGTGAAGCTGGGTTGGCATTCTTAAGATATTAGACTAGGGCCGGGCGTGGTGGCTCAGACCTGTAATCCAAGCACTCTGGAGGCCAAGGCGGGTGGATCACCTGAGGCCAGGAGTTCAAGACCAGCCTGACCAACATGGTGAAACCCCATCTTTAAAAAAAAAAAAAAAGATATTAGACTAAATTTCTTTTTAAGAGAGGGGACCAAAGAACTCCCAGGAACAGATATTCTGTTTCTATTATATCTCTATTGAATAGAACCTAGTGCAGGTTAGCAAAAGGGTGAGGGTTTTGAAGACAGATCCAGCTGGGTCAACTTTATGCTCCGGTCTCAGGAAGTCTCCTATTTTCCCTGTGCCTTCTTTGCCCATCTCTTCTTCTTTTTTTTTTTTTAGATGGAGTCTCATTCTGTCACCCAGGCTGGAGTGCAGTGGCGCTACCTTAGCTCACCGAGATCTCTGCCTCTCAGGTTCAAGTGATCCTCCTGCCTCAGCCACCTGAGTAGCTGGGATTACAGGTGCATACCACCACGCTCAGCTAGTTTTTGTATTTTTAGTAGAGATGGGGTTTCACTATGTTGGCCAGGCTGGTCTCGAACTCCTGACCTTATGATCCACCCACTACGAGTCCCAGCTTGTAGCTGGGACTACAAGTACCCACCACCACGCCTAGCTTTTTTGTACTTTTAGTAGAGATTTAGTAGGGATTTAATAGGGATTTCACCACGTTGGCCAGGATGGTCTTGATCTCCTGACTTTAAGATCTACCCGCCTCGGCCTCCTTAAAGTGCTGGGATTTCAGGCGTGAGCCACCGTGCCCAGCTCCTAATCTCTTAATCCTCTGCTCCAAGTGGGTTGTGAGGATTTGAGATAATGCACCATATTTTCTGGATTCTAAGATTTACTGCCTTCACTTTTTTTCCTGAAATACATAAATTCCCCACAATTCACATGTATATTTAATAGAGTGTTTATTTCACTTTTAAAGCTTAAGAGCTTTAAAAATATTGGCCAGATGCGGTGGCTTATGCCTAGAAAAGTGTCTTACGTTAACTGGCATTAACTACCTTGTTCTTAGGATTGCTGGAAAGGCCAGGTGGACAAGGTGAGGTCCAGCCGCTTTCCTGCAGCCACGTGGCCACCCACTCACCCTGAGTCCTCGTCCCAGTAGTAGTGGCTCCTGCCGGGATAACTCTGCTCCACTTTGTCCATCTGCAAGGTCCTCACGAAGACGCCCGTCTTGGACGTTTGCTTCAGCAGGCGATTGTGAACGTCCGACAGGATGGAGAAGGTGGTGCCTCGCGGGTAGCAGAGCCCCACTCGAATCCAGTCGCCCCTAGGATGGGAAGTAGAGTCAGGTTACAAACAAGGGTGTCCAGGCCACGGGGCCTTTGGGACATGCCTCAGAGAAAGAGACCAAAAAATCTCCACCAAATGACACCTCCATTTTCGTATGGGAAATTTTGAAAGAACATTTGCTGTTGTGGTGACCAAGTTGCAGTGTTCAAGGAGAGAACGAGAGACAGTGTCTGCCCGTGAGCAGAGAGTCTGCATGTTTCACTCATGTGTCTCCAGGGCCAACAACCGGGGTGCTCCCTGTGGAAGTTTGGGAAAAAGACATTCTTTTTGTAGCTAAAGAGCACAGGATCCGAAGGACCTAGGCTCAGCCCCTTCCGGGTCCCAGCTTGATTGTAGGGCCCATTTCATCTCTTCCATCTCATTTCCCACAACTGATAAATGTCTGTCTCACAGGAATACTGTGACAAGTAAATAACATGCATAGAAAATATTGAATCTAAACATATGAAGCCCTATCCAGATGACCTTGGTGTCATCACTTTGTCTGGTAGAGCCTCATTTCCCTCTCTGTAGAATGGTAACAGCAATACCCAGATATTTTTGCCATCTATCAAGCACTTGCTAATGCCAGGTGCTGCGTGCCCGTCAGACAGTATCTCCCTCCATCCTCATTGCACTTCTACAAGGTAACACTATCCGCAACTCAAAGATCAAGGAACTCGGGCTCAAGAGGTCAACCCTGCCCAAGGTCACCCATGCTGGTGCAGGGGCTTGGCCTGTGTCCTTTAATTCTTGGGTGATGTCAACCCCTCTAGGTGCTCCTGCAGAGATCACACGGGCTAGCCTATGGTTCTGTGAGAGGCAAGTCCAGGACTTTGCAAAAAAAGCCTTCGGTATCAGCCTTGAAACCAGCCAGAGCAGCTGCCCCTGGATCTCCCTGCTCCTGGCCGGACACCCACTCACTTGTTGAAGTTGATGAGCCAGATGGCGAGTTCGGCAGGGGCCGTCTGGTCCCAGTGGATGGTGTAGCCCTTCTGCAGGGTGACGACTGGCTGGTACTGCTGGTAATGGGTGCTCCTCGTGAGCGCCCCCTCCAGGTAGAGAGGGTGGCTGGGGAAGTCATTCTTGATGATCTTCATTCGCAGGTTACTGGTCTTGTAGGCTTGAATGTACATCTTTTAAAACCCAAAAAGGAAACACACAATGAGGCTATTAATTACGAAGGGTTATTCCAAGAGTGTCTGGTTAATATCTGACTATGGACTGCACTTTCAAAGCCACTTTCTCTTTACAGAACCCTTTTTAGAAGGCTTGAATGAAAGAAAGGCCAAATAAGGGGACATCTTTTCCTGCTGGCAGAGGCAGAGCCAGCCTTGCTGTGTAATCTAGCTAATGTTTTCTGTGCATCTTCATAAAAGTGCTCTGCTGAGTTTCCAGTGGAAATTTGAGAAAAGTCTGCGTAATAGTCGGATGGCAAATTCTGGACAAAGGACAGAGATGTGGACGGGGGAGGAAGGGAATGAGAGGCAGGGAGAACTTTTATAATTCTGCCCTAAAATGCAGCTCACCTGTAACTGGCAGTTGCTGTGCCTGCCTCTCAGGGAGCGCCTGGGTGTGTTGGCCGGCTTCTCCCTCCTACTCCCCCTCAGTCTCTGGCCCCTGAGGCCAGTCCTTGTGGTGCCACAACACACTGGATGAATAAAAGGTGCCTCATTTCAGAGGGAAAACTGAAAGCCAGACTGCCAGCCATTGAGTTCCAGGGACCTTACAGCCTGGATGCTTTAGCCCAGCATTGGTTTAAAACACTGCATCCTGTTTTATGGCACATCCTAAATTCATAAGACAATATCCCCTTAACTGTGGCCAAGAGCGACAATCACACCCATGTGCCATGATGTCGTGCTTTCGGAAGGAAGTGGTTCTCTTCCCCTCTAGTTTTATCACATATAAGATTAAAAGAGAAGCTTCAACCCTGCCCATCTGAGGAAACTGTCCTGAGTATAAGACGTAAAAGGTCCATTGAAGCATTTTTATTTATTTATTTATTTATTTACTTACTTATTTATAAAGACAGGGTTTCACCATGTTGGTCAGGCTGGTCTTGAACTCCCGACCTCAGGTGATCCACCCGCCTTGGCCTCCAAAGTGCTTGGATTACAGGCGTGAGCCACCACGCCCGGCCCATTGAAGCATTTTGAAAGATGTAAAGTGAAGGAAAAATATTATTAACCAGTTGCCAGTTATGATAACCTGGCAAGCTCTAACAATGTTTTGGTTTTTTCACAGAAGATAAGCAACATATCAGAAAGTGTGGGAAGGAAAATCTCGGCGCCCTATGGGATACCAGACCTTGAGCTGAGGCTGCGTAATGCTGAAAGTGTGGATGCCGGGCTTGAGGGTTTGGTCATCCTGCAATTACTCAGGGCATGACTCCCCTCCATCAGCTCTCTTCTGACTCCTAGCGTCCTCAGACCATCACATCCGCCACTCACTCCCATTAGCGCCTTGGCCCTTCCCCTGCGCACACCTGCCGCAGAAGCCTCGCCCTGGCTCATGACACAGCTCCACCTCTCCCAGGGCTCTTGAGCAGGGCTGAGAAAACCCCACAGCCTGGGAGAGAGCTGCCTCTGCAGATGCACCGTCTCCAGTCTCCACTGTGCTTTCAACACTGCCAGGCGCTCCTTCTACAAGCCTCTTGTCAACATTTTCCACTCTCTGCAGCAGCTCTTCCAAATCTGTATCACTCTCTGGAGGCTTTTTCTCAAGCTCAGTCCCCTAATTCTCAGCGCATGACATCACCTTCTACTGCAGAGGGAAACGCCCTCAGCTTCCTGCCCTCTGCCCCATCTTCCTCTGGTCCTCCTTCCTGCTAAATGCTAGCCCTGCCACCTCCTCTGGCACCTCCTCCCCCAGCTGCACCCTGTGCCCCCTTCACCCCATGGCCCTTTTGCTTCAGCCTGACACCATCTCCCTCTCCTATCACTCCTCCACCCCAAACCACCATTCAGCTCTTTTCCAGCACCCCAATTCCTGACGTCCACAGTGGTGACAACAGTGCCCGCCTTGTAGCATAGCTGTGAAGACAGTGTCTTCATTCATACATGTTCCCTTCACTCCCTGAGATGACATGGCTCACTATGAACCTGACAGTTCATTCTCTCAGGCCTCTCTCCGTTTACCCATTTATTAATTAGTCATTCATCAAAATACTAGAAATAATAATATAACAATAGCTAACTAATATTTTCAGTTCTGTCCCATTCTAGGCACCGTCTAGACCTGCCCTGTCCCTCATGTGGCCACTGAGCACTGGACATGTGGCCAGTGTGATTCAGGATCTGAATTTTAAACTTTAATACATTTAAATTTCAAAACAAAAGCAATGCATTTTTCCTATCCCATTACTCTTGATTTGATCGTTACACGTTATATACATATATCAAAATATCACGCATGCTCCAAGAGAATAGACTATGATATAGCAATAAAAATGCAAAACTAAATTAAAAATAAAACATTCGCATTGAACACAACGTTAGTTTCAGTAGGACTGCACTTCCCTTTGTTGAAAATTGAGTGGGCTGAGTATAAAACATACGGTAGATTTTGAAGACTTAGGAAAAACAAGAAGGGTTTAATGATTTTCTACACTGATTCATGTTAAGATGATAGTATTCTGAATAGAATTAAAGTATTACAATTGTTTCTTTTTACTTTTTTTTTTTTTTTTTTAAAAGACGGGGTTTCACCATGTTGGTCAGGCTGGTCTTGAACTCCTGACCTCAGGTGATCCACCCGCCTTGGCCTCCAAAGTGCTTGGATTACAGGTGTAAGCCACCACGCCCGGCCTCTTTTTACTTTTTAAGATGCCTACCAGAAAATTTAAGAATACATGTGTGACTTGCATTACATTTCTATTGGGATAGGGCTGGTCAAACACTTTACATGCATCTTCTGAAGCCATCCCCAAAATCTCACTAGGAAAGTTCAATGATTATCCCAGTTTTACGGATGAGGAAACTGAGGTTCCACAAGTCTGGGTAATTTGTCCAAGGTCCAATGGTAAGTGTTGGAGCCTGACTTGAATCTAGGCATTGGACCCAGAGGGTTCTTTTCTCTATGCATTTTGCTTACCGAGTGTTTTGACTTGAACTTTGTAAAAATCCTACTGGGTAAGAGGAAAAGTTAAAAAGAAAAAAGAGATTCTGTATCTTTCTGGCCTGAAACGGAGCCAGGCACACAGTAGACACTCACTGAATGCTAGCTGCATGAGCGAATGAGTGAGCGACCGGCCCCCAGAAAGGTGTCCCCACCTGTGCATAGCGACCGCTGCAGACGGCTCCTCTCCAGTCCGGGACGTTGATGCAGTCTGGGTGCCGGACCAGCCAGTTGTCATCCTTCGTGAGGTAGGAGCCTGGGTACTCGGACACGGAGCCATCGACGTCATGGAACACAGATGTCTTATCCCCATCCATGTCCAGCTGGTTGAACCAGGGCCCAGGCTCTCCGAAGAACACTCTGGAAGTAATCTAAACAGAGCCCAGGAAAGTTAGGCAGGGCTGGAAGGTGAAAGGAAACTGCAGCCGTCATCAGGCCAGGGCGAGGTTTCCGATTTCCACTGACATTACAAGCCAGCCAAAGCAAAGATGCTCTCGGGCACAGTGAGAAACCGCATGGCTGACCCCTCCGATGCAGCCAGAGTAACAGTCAAAGGTTCACCGTGCCTCAACTCCCAGACCTAGCACATGCTCTTGGCCTCTGCTCACTGGTGGGCTGGCTGCTGTGGGTGAGCGTGGAGCCTGCTCTGAAACACAGGTTTCACCGATGGCTAGGAGGGAGGAGGGGGACTGAGGACTGCGTGTGTGTGTGTGAGAGAGGTGGTAGTGATGTATGAGAAAGGGCACACACACACACGGGAGCATCTGTGTGCAAGAGAAAATGTGTGTGTGGCATGTTGCAGGAAGACAGTTTTGTCACATGAGCCCTCGCAGACTTCCATGACTGACCTCTTTCGGGCCCTCAGTCTCCTGAGTAAAGACATTAAGTAATTTCAGTTTCACATCTTCTCCCTGAGCCTGCCAGGAACTGGGCAAACAGGCAAAAGGCAAGAGCAGGGAGGAGCAGGAGGGGAAAGTCTGGGAATCCGTAACCCGAAGGAAGTGCACAGGAGGCCTGGCCCCGCCTGGTCTCACGGGGCAGCCCTTGGTCCTGATCTAACCCTCAGCTCGTCTTCTGCCCTCTCTGTCTAGGGCAAGGAGGCCTCTGTTTATAGTCTGCCCTTGGGGAGAGATTAAACAGAACACCATCAGTTAAGACTTCCCTTGGAAACTGTGGGGCTTGTTAGATTCTTCGTGCCAACACAGGTGGCCTGGTCAGAAGACTCAGTTTGTCAAAGTCAAGACCCTTGGAGGTACGGCCTAGGAAACTCGACCCGCACATCGGCTCCCTCCTGAGGCCCGCCTGGGTTTTCAGCAGGGAGTGAGCAAGCGGGCATTTACCCAGACCTGACCTGTGGGGCAACTTATGCTTGTACTTTTCCAGTTTGGATGCAGAACAAACTGGGACATGGCCCAGCCTCGTTGGAGGAGGCTTTTCAACCCCTGTGGTGGTGGCAGTAGCTCAAACTCTGGGCCCCGGGAGACTTGTGAATCACCATCCAAAGTCTGGGTTTGCCGGGAGTCGGCCCTGGCGCCTCACTCACCGGAACGTCCTCAAAGGCAATGCCGGTCACGTTGTTGTGGGGGCAGCTCTGCCAGGCATTGTTCAGGCGGAAGGCCAGGGCGCTGGTGTGCCGGCCCTCCAGGGCCACGAACTTTCGGAAAGTGCAGTTTTGGATGTTGATGGGGCCGTCATAGAACTGAATTCCTCTAATTGGAAA